ATGTTTTTTGTATTATTGTACAGCGCATTGAGCACTTCTTTGTGGAAATGCGCTATACAAATGCAATTTATTATTTATTATTATTATTATTATTATTATTATTTATTCTAAAAAAGCAGGGTCAGTTTGGTGACACATTAAGTATCAATAGTAACACGGAATGGCTCAAACCCTCACCTCATGAAAGACTCGACTGACGTGTATTCTGATAAGACTTTAAACAACGATGAGCCAATCATCAACGCCACCTGTGGGGAGATATGAGAAACACAGACAGACTTTTTAGTTTTAGTAAGAGCTTTTCGACACTTGCAAAACAACAAGGTCACATAAAAACTGAAGAATAGAGGTGTTACAAGAGAGTAACAAACACAAAACAGAAGGAGGGGAGATAAGGACGACAGATGTTTTATAGGAAAGAAGGAGCAAACCACACCAGAGCACCTGCCAACCACCCACACAAACAGACTGTACTGTGGTCACTATGTTTTAGTTTGGTAAGAGTTTTACGGTACTTGCAACACAACTAGCACCCACCATGAACCCGGCAAAGATGTGGCCGTGCGGAATGTCCGTGTGGTCCTCCACCATCCCCCCCTGCGTGGACGGCTTGTAGATGATGCTGAGCGAGGGCGTCCACTCCAGGACGAAGCAGTACATGGCGCCCTCAAACAGCGACTGGATCAGGCCCAGGCACAGGACTTTTGGGTCTGGGGAGGACAAGGGATGGCAGAATGATGGAGTCTTCTTTTAGTTTTAGTAAGAGTTTTACGGCACTAGCAACACAATAATGTCATATAAGTGCTGAAGATAAGAGGTGTTACAAGAGAAATGTAGGAAAAAAAACATGGAGTGACATCAAGCGACTAGCTTAGGATAGGGAAAGGTGGAAAGTGTTTGTTCGTGGCCTACATCCTGATCCAGGGTGAGAAAGGCAAAGATGATGATGAAAAATTGGAGGATGGGGGATGTCGTTGGTCGATAGATTTGGGATTTGTAATTAATTAGGTTTTTTTTAGTAAGTATTTTACGGCACTTGCAACACAATAAGGTAATATAATTGCCAAAGATTAGAGGCGTTACAATAGAGTAATAAACACACAAAAAAAGAAAGAGGGGACATAAAGACGATAGATGTTTGATAAGAAAGAAGAAACAAACCACACCAGAGCACCCGCCAACCACCCACTGAGTCTTCTCATCCCACATTGTCCAGGCTGACAAAACTTGGGTGCAGTAAAAATGGGAAGACACGGGGAAAGTCGTTATTCGATAGATTTGGGATTTGTAGGAAACAGTATATTACTTTTGAACCATTGCCAAGGTTTAAGTCTATTACACATCTAGCTAAGTCATTCATTCCTGGTCAAAGGAGCGTCATACAAAAAGAAGCGCTGACCATAAAAGTTGCAGTTTACTAAAGGCTTGAGTAAAATTGATTTATCACTAGTTAACATTTGACTTCTTGCTGGTACATACTTCTTTTTTTTTTTTAATGCTTGAGACATAGTCAATCAAGTAGCCTTTGAGTGTTTATTATTATTATAGTAGAGGGTTTTACGGCGCTCGCAACTGCATAAGGTCATATGAGCGCCAAGGGGTGGGTGTCAACAGAGAAGTCTTTACAGGGAATCAGAATTACTCTGCTCACCTCTAGCTTCAACAGCACAAAGTCTACTTCAACTATCAAGGCACCCCAGAAATAGCAGGTCACAAGAGTGACAAACATACAAAACAAGTAGAGGAAAATGACAATAGTAAGGATTAGGAAAGAAAAAGCAGCAGTTCCCTGTTGTAGATCAGGCACAGTTATGAGCGTGACATGAATCAGCCCATTTACAATTCTACTGTGCTTGAACGAGAAATGTCCCCCCTTTGGGAATGGCCTAAAGACACTACAGTCAGTGGCACTGCCCCGGAAAGATTTTGAGTGTTTGCCCTTTGGCTAAATGCTATGCTTCAAAAGAAGGAGGGAGGTCTTTGACATGAAGTATTCTCTGTTGCCACGTAGGATACTGTCTGTCGTAGGGAGGGGAGAACACATTGCACCACTATCGGAAAGTGCTCAACTCTTGGGATACGCCACAGCGAATCACCTGACCAGACCATCAATGATTTATTTATACAGGCACCAGCCATCCATGTCCAGGTGCTGTTTTAGCCTCTTAAGCGTCGCTCTGTTGTTTATTGACATAACATAAATCTACTTTACTTTACTTTACTTTTCCCATCCAGCGGCTATTTGGGTTCTAGCCCTTCGGTCTGGGCATAAATCTACAAAACCTCAGTATATCCATCTCATCTATAATCGAACTGTATGCTTTTCGGTTTACTTTTTTCTTTGGGAATGGGGAAAGGAGGTTGCATGAAAAAAATCACTTCTACTCAATTAGGTTTTTTCTTGGAGCAGATAGGTCTAACAGTAAAGGAGTCCTAAGGCAGTTTGAGATGCTGCAGGATTACATGACTTCTTTCTGTATAAACATGGGTGGCCTTCTGTACATTATCAAGATTTAACCCTTCCAGCCCCAGCCAGTGTTGTGCACTCCCTAACCCCAGCCCCAGCCAGTTTTGTGCACTCCCTAACCCCAGTCCCAGCCAATACAGCAGTATTTCAGAAAAAGAAGTGTCATGCATTCTAAAATGTGATGTAGTATCTTTGTAATGAGGTTTAGATGATAACATATAACAATGTACAAAGGCGAATGAACAAATATTATGAAAATTAAAGTTTAATTAGGTTAGTTAATTTTTTTTAAAACGCACAAAATTCAGTACCTCCCGAAACTGAGAATATACGGTCCTGGGGCGGTGGGAGGTACAAGCGCTGCTGAAAATAATTATATGCGCATGAGGCGGGAAGGGTTAAGATCAAAGACCCACCTTCTCTGATGGTCTTCAGAGCTGTAGAGAAAGATTGGCTCAGGTCACTGCTGCGGTCGCCGTAGTTCTCCGACCAGGTGGCGATGATGACCACCACCATGATCAGCAACACCGCTAGCGACAGATCAAACGGGGCCCTGTGCCAACGAAAAAAATACAAAAATCATGTAAAGCAAAAATCAGTCTTTCATTTAATCACGAGCGGCATATCTAACATAAGGCCAATGTCATTTCTTTTTTTTAGTAGAGGGTTATACCGCGCTCGCAACTGCAAAAGGTCATATGAGCGGCACAGTCAAGGTCTACAGTGAAAACTAATAGCTAGACAGGTAACTTTCCATCTACTTACTTGTGATAGCCATACCCCACAGAGATTTTCTTCATATGTGATACATTTAATTTTTTGAAAAATGCTTTGGTTGCCATAGAAACGGGTAAAAACAGCCGCCATATTGGATTTTTTTCATACATTTCCATGGAACATTTCTCATTCGTTATCCTTGCAACAGTCATGAAAGTTGGCACACATACTTTCATCAACATCAGGCACATTTTGTCTGATTTTCAGTTCCCTAAATGAATAGCTGTAATTTTAACTAATTTTTTTAATTTGTGTAAGTATATTATGCTATTGTAAGCCCTCCCCTAACATAAAAAATCATTTTAAAAACGTTGCTGTATATTTTACATATGGATGGGACAAAATTTGAATTTGATGGTAGCAAACACATGGTATAAATTTGAAGTAAGTCACACAAACTTTTATTGCGAGAGTGCACTTGCCTTCTAATGTCATGATGTTTTCAGCCTGGAAAAACAATTTAAAATGAGCCAGCAGCAAAGCTTGGACCATCCTCAAGTGATTACAACTCCCTCTCTCTTCTAGTCCATGCTATGGGCCTCAAACACCTTCTCTTAGACAGTGTATCCCCCTCATAGCATTGACTGTAAGCAATCTGCATTGCTGCCCTTTGTGTCACCGAGCAAGCTGAACTGGTACACTCTGTCTGTCCATACTGCTCCCCCACAATATTGCTACCTTTTGGGCCACGGTTGAACTCCGCAATGGCCACCAGCATAGAAAACTTTAATTTCTTGGAAGAGGCAAACTTAGCCTTCGAGCAATTGCTCCATCTTGTTCTTGTTCTTGTTCTTGTTTCAGGAAGCAACATCCCTGCACTCAGGACATGTCCATTGATGCTCCGTTGCTCTCTCCAAAATGTTGCCGAGGGTCCCTCTACTGATCGTGCCCGTGCACATCTGGTTGAACGTTCTTCTGTTCTTTCCTGCAAGGATTGCTCCATATGAGCTATGAAGACTTTCATTTGCATTTTGAGTGGCATGACCGTGGCAGCGAAGTAGCAGGTCAGTATCAGACAGTCTGTCATATACTGGCTTTAAATGACCATGCAGAAGACTGTAATCTAGTCTGGTCTTCACCACTTTGCGATGGGGGCCTGGAGTTTCCCCTTTTACTATGGCTGCCCTATAAAAGCACCAGGATGCATCGCAAGGTAGACAGTGGTCGTGCATGTATGTGCTGCTCATCCGAGGAGTAGCCATGAAAAATAATGCCTGTCATCATGTGTTTCAGTGTATCTACCACTTACTGCTTGGTCATAATACTTCCACAGTTCTATGTCCATGGCTTCTTTAGTGAGCCGCACATACCCTTGCCCCCCCTTGCATATTTACTACCATTTACGACCTTTACGACCAGGGCACCGAATTTACGACTTAACGGCTTTGCTGGGCACCCTGAAATTATGTCCAATCAGCCGACCAAAAGCCTCATATAAATAATTATTACGTCCAATCAGCTGACCAAAAGCCTCACCTATGTCCAATCAACCGACCAAAAGCCTCACATACGTCCAATCAGCTGACCAAAAGCCTCACATACGTCCAATCAGCCGACCAAAAGCCTCACATACGTCCAATCAGCTGACCAAAAGCCTCATATAAATTATGTCCAATCAGCTGACCTAAAGCCTCACATACATCCAATCAGCCGACCAAAAGCAACTTTGCACCACACTTCCAACCATCATATCAAACACGGCGTCACTTTTCGCCCGATTCTGTTACTTTTAGTTCGCATGACTCAGCAGCCCGCCGGAGCTCCCCGCCTCGGGGTCACGGGGTTAATGATCCCTGAAGCGACTTTGCCGCTGTCGGATAGGAAGTTCGCATTTTTGACTATGTTTAAAACGATATAACTTCTTCCCCATCCCACATAGCAAACCATTACGCGGATGTACTAAAAGCTCAATGTCTTGAGATTTATTCTGCGTTAGAATGGTTAGTTTCTGTGCCTTAGTTTTTGCTCTAGACAAGTGTTTGTAGAGTACCCAATTTGTCCTATTTTAGTTACAAACTTATGAATAAATGATTGTTAATTTTAAAAAGGCACGACAGATCTCTCCAAAATCTGTGTTAAACTGACTACGAATATCATATCTTTTACCATGAGAAATCTTAAATCTGCGCTAGTAGTAATAGTCAAGTTATAAGAGAAGAAAGATGCACATCTGCATTTTTAAACTAAAGACGATCAGCGTTAGCTCTTATTTTACTATTAAACAAGAGAACGTTACTCTGCGTTTGTTCGTGAATCATGCTGTGTCTGTGGCAGCCTGCATACAACTAAAAAGATATAATATAAGCGATTAAAAAAAACACAAAACCGTATGAATATATGGGTTGAGATAAACTTCTTGTATGGAATAAAAATAATGACAGTTGAAACATTCATTCTTAGTTTTTGTGTAGGAAATATGCGCGGACACAATTATGAATGTAAAGAAATCAGTCACATTGTCAGTTATTGCAAATGGTCATAGAAACGAAAAAAAAGCTGGAAAAGTCTGGTGCTGATTCAGTGTCCCTGGAAAGCTAGAAATTATTCTTATAACCCAATTACGAGAAGTCATCCCTATTATTCAGTCAACTTACAAATCCTGGACTTAGCGTTTTAAGGAAAGTAAGGAATTTCTGGAGTGTAACGGATACTGTTCGTGTATTAGATCTACGTTGAAGATGTATTCGAGCACTAAAATCGATTTGTACTTTTATAGAGAAACTTCATGGTAACTTTTATAAACTTTCGAGAAAATATGAGAATATTCACGATTATATTAGACACATAAAGTTGTATTTGGAGGAATTACTTCATAGCGAATTATGTGCCCGATGGATAAAATTGTAAAATTACAGCCTTCTATTATAAGCGCAGATACCATCTTTCCTGAGTATCTGCACCAATGTTATGTTGTTCATGTTCCAAAAGTTTGACCGATTTTGACGATGCCTTTTTTTTATATTGATTTTTTTTCATTCACGCTAGTCAAAAAAAAATTACAATTTAGCATTGCCGACTCCAGCGCGTCTAACAAAATAACCAGACAAGTTACAACGTCCGTTCTTTTGTGAGTCTCAAGAGCAGAAATGCGTGCTTTTGGTGCACTAAATGAGAATTACCATAAGTACAAGGATGCACCTTAAATTGTACGTTGAAAAGTACCAAAAATTACATCAGCCCAGACAGAGCGGCGACAGGGAGCTGACCCCCGTGACCCCGACATGATAAGGCGCCCGGCGGGGAACCCCCCGCGGCAACTAAAATTCCACTGCCGGTGCGCGTGCAAAAAATGAATTTAAAAAAATATTTCTTGCATATTTCATAATATGCATGCTGTTTCTTCTCCTCTTAGATTTCAGACAAAAGAAAATAGCATTTTTTTTAAAATCTGTATGATGAATAACAAAGGTGTACTTCTTTTTTAACTCACTCAACCCTCGGCCTACACTTCCGGGTTGTCAGCTCTCCCTAGAGATTTTTTCCACTTTTTGAAAAAAAATTTTAAAACCCCTAAATTTTAACATATCATAACCAAATGTGGTACACATTTTATTCAAACCTTTATGTGTGTGTATTGAAAATATGAAGGCAAAATATGTCATAGTTTTAATGCAGTAATACTCCATGGAAAAAGGTTTACACACAAAGTCAAAAAGTAAGCAAAAAGCGAAGAAAGCAAGTGCGTTCAAATTTCACATCCCCTGACATGGTGCACGAATATAGCTTTCTTTATTCTCAATTTGGGCTTGCACTTCTGGTCATAGTCTGTTTCATACGAAAAAAGGTTACTCTTCCAATTAGGCTATATATTATTATATAGTCTGCTTCACGTTAAAAGAGAGTAACAAATATAAAAAAGAAGAAGGAGAAATAAGGACGATAGATGTTTGATAGGCAAGAAGAAGCAAACCACACCAGAGCACCCGCCAATCACCCACGAAACTGCCTCTTTATGAATTATCGAAAGAGCAGAATTGACATCCGTACAGCCAGAGCCAACTCTTAAGAACATCAAGGTTGTAACTATTTACTGGAAACACCATCATCTGGCTAAAAAAAATGAATGATAAAATCTCAAGTTTTCCAGATCCATGGAAAAGCACTAAAAAGGACTCAAAATTTACGGAACCTACGGTCTTGTAGATGTTGCATCATAATTATTATTATACAAAGAGCAATACGTGGACAATTTCCGGATTTATCCCAAAAAATCAGCACCTCTTTATTTATGCAAACAACACCAACACAAACAACACAGGTAAAAATATGGGTCACGACGCAGTGGAATCAGGTGCTCGCCAAGTTTTGAGCATGTGTGGTTATTGGTGTCATCTTAAAGGTGGTTCATTTGCCTGGTTTTCAGAGAAAAAAGTATCAATTTATCTTGAATAGAAGTCGAGATATTTACGATTGAAGGAGGTGGGGTCGCCAGGTTTCAAAAGTAAAATTAGCGAGAAATCGGCCGCCAACATTCGGAGCCTTCCACAGCTTAAGAGTCCTTGGAAACTGCAAAAGTACATTTTTTGTACATTTAATCAACGTTTTTCCATAAAATCCACACATGTAAGTGTTTTTGAATGGACATACAAGGTGTTGAGCCAAAAAACAAAATTTTCAAAAAGAATTTCCAAACTGACTGCAAAATGCTGATTTCTCGGATTTCATTAATTTAGACGAGCGCCTGATTTCACCACGATGCCCCGTAGTGTTCCTGCCTGCTGTCAGCATTGCTAACCATTTATGACCCACAGCACCAGAAAAAAAATAAAGAGAGACCACGATGCCCTACATACATACCTTTTTCTTTTAATAAATTTTTTTTAAAGTTCATACTCACACAAAGCCAAAAAGATCAGCAAACTTCTGGGCCAAGAGGCCGGCCAGTATGGCCACCACGGAGTTTCCCAGCACACCCAGGGAGAAGATGTTGCCCAGCAGATGGCTCTCAAAGCCGCGCTGGGGACACCAAGAAATAAACATTTTTTAAAAATTGTCGGTGATTTAACACTTTTCCATCAATCGGCGCATTAGACTAAAAGCAATGATAGTAAATAACAAGAAGGGCCACTCAGCCAAAAAAGTGTCCGCAGGAAGTATGCTCTTTGCTTCAGATGGCGCTGCAGTCTGTTTTGAAGCTCTCTTTCGTTTTTCCAAAAGAAGAATAGGAATAGCACCTCCTTGCGTGCGCAGATCGACTGCTGTTCATCAGCAATTCGGGTTCGTTCAGTACGGAGTTTTAGGTTTTTTAAAAATTTTAATGACCTCTTGCCTTTCATTCTAAAGTCAAATTAAACGAAGAAAATAATCACCCTTTCCTCCGGAAGAGGTTTTTTGTCAGCGTAACCATTTTTAAAAAAGCGTTTTTCCGAAATTCATTCAAATACTTGCTAGTTTCACTTTGATTTTTTAAAACTGAAGTAGGATAACTCTGTTCGCTAAAGGTGCGCTTTTGCGAAGAGGGCGCCACCGAATTTTGCGGACACTTTTTTAATTGGCTCAAAGAGAGAAGTGACCCATCTTGTCTTGTACTATCTTTGCTAAAAGTTCGTGTATTCGTCAATCTGCGCATTATTGCGTCAACACCACGATGTAAAAAGGCAAAACAACTTATCAGTTTAAAAAATCAAATTGACAGACGGGAAAAACCTATTCAGACCCAATTGATGGAAAAGTGTTAATGCTCTCTCTACCAAAATTTACATCATTTAGGAGGTGGACTTCTGACTCTGGGCATCAGAAAAATTCATACAGGGAATCAGGCTTACTCTGCTCACCTCTCTAGCTTCAACAGCGCAAAGTCTGCTTCGACTATCAAGGCACCCGGGAAATAGCAGGTCACAAGAATGTGACAAGCAAATAAAAGAAGTAGAGGAAAATGACAGTAGTAAGGATTACGAAAGACAAAGCAGCAGTTCCCTGTTGCAGTTCAGGAACAGTTATAAGCATGACATTGATGAATCACCCAATTTACAATTCTACTGAGAATAAGAACATATTATATATCCCCCCTTTGGGAATGGCCTAAAGACACTTCAGTCAGTAGCACCGCCCCAGGAGTGATACAATATGTGTCATGACGCAGTGGAATCAGGCTCTCGTCAATTTTTGAGCATGCAGAGTTATTGATATCGCCTTAAAGCTTGTTCATTTACATTGTTGTCGATATAAGAATTATGCATTTATTTTGGCTACACGTTGAGGTACTTGCGATTGAATGAGATAGGGTCGCCTGGTTTCAGAGGTGAAATTAGTGAGAAAATTGCCACCAAAGTGGTTATTTTCAAAGCCTCGGAGATCATGAAAACTAATCATTTAAATTTTGGTACCTTTAAACAACGTTTTTCATTATAATTAACACTGAAATGGTTTCTTAATTAGACATAGAAGGCTTTAAGCCAAGAAACAAAATTTCGAGAAAAATCGCCAAACCAGCAGAAAAGTGTAAGGTTTCTTTACTCTCATTATTTTGACGAGTGCCTGATTTCACCAAGCTGACTCACATGTAAGCAAAAACGTTGATGTTTTAGTTTTAGTAGAGGTTTTACGGCGCTCGCAACTGCATAAGGTCATATGAGCGCGTTACAAGAGAGTAACAAACATAAAAAAGAAGAGGAGACAAAGACGATAGATGGTTTGTGGCTCACCTTGTGGTGTTCATAGACCAGCCAGGACTCGAAGGCGCTGTACAAGATGGAGGTGGCCGTCCCACCCAGGATGCGGCCCACCATGAGGATCCAGAAGTTGCCAAAGTGCTGCAGGGAGAAACAGAAACTTTTAGTTTTAGTAAGAGCTTTACGGCACTTGCAACACAATCAGGTCATATAACTGCCGAAGATTAGAGGTGTTACAAGAGAGTAACAAACACAAAAAAGAAGAAGGAAAGATCGAAACACACCAGAGCACCCGCCTACCACCCACTTAGTTCAGTTTTAGTAAGAGACGTTACAACGACGCATGTGTCACAAACGGTCATAGAGGTGTCAAAGATTAGAGGAGTAACTAGATACAGAGAGTAACATACAGAGAAAAAATGGAGGATGGTTTGTTTTGGTAGAGTTTTTACAGCGCTCGCAACTGCATAAGGTCAAATGAGCGCCAAGGGGTGGATGTTAACAAAGAAGTCCTTACAGGGAATCGGGCTTACTCTGCTCACCTCTCTAGCTTCAACAGCACAAAGTCTGCTTCAACTATCAAGGCACCCCAGAAATAGCGGGTCACAAGAGTGTGATAAACATACAAAAGAAGTAGAGGAAAAATGACGATAGTAAGGATTAGGAAAGTAAAAGCAGCAGTTCCCTGTTGCAGTTCAGGCACAGTTATGAGCATGACATTGATGAATCAGCCCATTTACAATTACAATTCTACTGTGCATAAGAACTCGAGATGTTAATGCCCCCCTCTTTAAGAATGGCCTAAAGACACTTCAGTCAGTAGCCATGCCTCAGGGGGTGTCAAAGATTAGGGGAGTAACTAGGGATAATAATAATAATAATAATAAATTACATTTATATAGCGCTCAACCCCGAATAAAGTACACAGGCTCTGAGTGCTTTACAAAACAGTACAACATACAACAGTAACATGAAACGTTGTGTTCTGACTAAAGAAAATTATTTCAAATATTCATCTTATTAATTTAAAAACAGAAACGACTTCAGCTGACATTTGAATGAATCGAAAGATTTGATTTCTCTCAACGTACTTGGTAAAGCATTCCAGATCTTGGGGCCTTGGTATTCAAATGCCCTTTCACCCATTGTTTTAAGTTTCATAGATGGTAAAATAAATGTCTTTTTGTCAGCTGATGACCTCAAACTGCGAGTTGGAATGTACAGTCTTAACAGATTTGATAAATATGATGGTGCATTATCATTCAAACATTTGTGACATATGGTGGCCAACTTGTACACAATCCATTTCTCAACAGGGTAACATACAAAGAAAAGATGGAGGAGAGTCAAGGACGATAGATGTTTGGTAGGAAAGAAAGAGCAAACTACACCATCGCACCCGCCAACCACACTCACGGAAGCACGTCAGCAGACCTTTAAAGGAAAAAGAATAGCTTACAGCCTACAGAAAAAGAAGGGTCTCTTCTTATCCTTCATCTTTTTAGTTGGAAGTGTCTACGTACTCCCCGATTGGGGTTACGTAGTCATCGTGTCTAGGTGGACCCCAAAAATGTTGGATTGTGATTGGCTCGCTGAGCAAGCGGTAGTTTACATTGGTTACAATGCAAGGCTGGTAGACCTAGCCTACTTACTGATCATCTCGATTAGTATGTCTATCTTGTGTTACTATAATTAATTTATTTTAGCCGAGAGAGAGAGAGAGAGATAGAGAAAGAGAGAGAGTATTTAATGAATAAACGTATCTAGGTCTAGATCTAGATTTTGTTCTGCACCCAGCCAAGAGTGTGCAGTTCGGTCTAGATTTAGATTCTAGATCTAGATACGTTTATTCATTAAATACTCTCTCTCTGGGCTAAAAATATATAAATTATAGTAACACTAGATCGACACACCGCCCTAGATGATCAGTAGCCTTGCATTGTAACCAATGTAAACTACCGCTCCCTCAGCGAGCCAATCACAGTCCAACATTTTTGGGGTCCACTTGGACACCATGACTACGTAGACCCCAATCGGGGAGTACGTAGACACTTCCTTTTTAGTTTTAACAGGGAGTGACTTCTCAGATCTTACTGAAATAAGACGCTCTGTCTCTTGCCGTTCAGCCTGCCAGAGTTATTTTGGCTAAGCCTGGTTTTTATTTCCTGTTCTCATCACTTGCAAGGCCTCCCCCATCCTCTCCTCAGCAAAAAAACTTTGTAAGTGGCAAATACATTCCATGCAATTATGGTCGCTTTCAGGCACAAGGGGGCTATCACGAAAAAAGCTGTCTTGAGGAAATCGAGGGTGAAGTTTTTGCCCCTTGTTCAGTTTCTTTACAAGACAAGTACAGTTTTCTCTATAACTAACCAAACAAATATTATACACACCATTGAAACCTTCTCCTATAGGTAGAGCAATGCAAACTTTCGGTGTAGGTAAAGATTTCTGGAAACCCCCGAAATCTAGGTTAGCCCGCTTGTCCTTAAAAGCAACTAATTTATCATTGAAATGAGAACAGTATCTGTGGTGCAGTAGTTAGGGGCTTTGCTATCACAGTGATTAGACCTCAGCTCAGTTCTTGCGTGGGAAAAATTCTTATTGTGCATCTTGGTGATTCTGCTGGGATGTTGCTTCCTTCTCAGACAGGTTTTTTTAGTATTAGTAAGAGTTTTACTGCACTAGAAGAAAGTAACAAACACAAAAAAGAAGGAGGGGAGATAAAGACGATAGAAGTTTGATAGGAAAGAAGAAGCAAACCACACCAGAGCACCCCCCAACCACCCACCAGCCTGGGTTTGCTCTGACAGACAGGCAGGGTCGGAAGCCCGCTTCCTAAGTTATCTAAATTGTTTCGATGGGGGCGTAAAACATTCACAGTAATTTTTAAAAAGGGGAAAAAAAAAGCCATGCAGACAAGTATGACCTGACCATCAATAATTCATTTATAGAGGCACCAGCCATCCATGTCCAGGTGCTGTTTTAGCCAGACAAGAGTGACAAGACAACCTTTTAGTATCTTTAGCAAGAGTTTTACGGCACTTGCAACACAATAAGGTCATATGAGCGCCAGAAGATTACAGGTGTTACAAGAGAGTAACAAACACACACAAAAAAGGAGGGGAGATAAAGACGAAAGATGTGTGACAGGAAAAAAGAAGCAAACCACCAGAGCACCCACTAACCACCCACCAACACAGCCTTAATGAACATACCTTGGTGACACACGCCGACCCATACAGGATGCCATACAGAATGCAGTTAGTGCGACGACCACTGGAGGGGGGGGGGGGGGAGGTAAAAAAAATTAATTAATATCTAGCAGTTATCGCTCCATCTGTATGAATAATCACAATACTTGTAAAAATGGAGATGATAATATTAATAATAATAATAATAATAACAATAATAATAATAATATTCAATCATTCAAAAACTTATGAATAATGATAATAAAACAATTTTAAAAGACAATTATGATATTCATATATAAAGATAATAAAAATTACAACAACAACAACAAGAGTAACAATGGAGATAATAATAATAACAATAATAATAATAATAGCAACAATAATAACATGATTGAAAAAAAAAAATCACTTACTGACCATTGGTCCAAGCTGAGGCGCAGAAAGGTTTATACATGAACATTCTTTGTACGTAAAACACATTCATAGTCAAACTCCTACATGGTAACAAAAGGACAAAGAAGGAGCAAAACACACCAGAGCACCCGCCAAGCACCCACCGGAAAAGAGTAGTTTTAATAAGAGTTTTACGGTACTTGCAACATAATTACACGTACGTCGACCAAGTTTTTTTGTTTTTTAAATCAACATGAGGCATCGAGGTAAAAACCGGCGCTCGTCAAAATAATAAAATCAAAGAAATTGCTACTTTTTTGGCCCATAGGGAATTTTTTTCTAATTTTCTTTGTATATATTTACATTTTAGTGTTCTGCCAATTTCGCAAAGTGCCAACTAGACTGTATCTCCCCCCCCCCCCCCCCAGGACAGTGCTACAGACTGAAGTTTGAAGTTGTCTTTAGGTCATTCTCAAAGGGAGGGGGGGGGGGGATATTAACATGTCCTTATGTACAGTAGAAGTATAGATGGGCAGATTTGTCAAGGTCATGCTCATACCGTGCTGGAACAACATAGGGGGAACGGCTGCTTTTTCTTTCCTCATCCTTACTATCGTCATTTTTCCTCTACTTCTTTTGTATGTTTGTCACTCTCTTGAGAACTGTTATTTCCGGAGTGCCTTGAAAGTCGAAGCAGACTTTGTGCTGTTGAAGCTAGAGAGGTGAGCAGAGTAAGCCTGATTCCCCGTTTGGACTTTTCAGTTGACATCCACCCCTTGGCGCTCATATGACCTTATGCAGTTGCGAGCGCCATAAAACCTTACTAAAACTAACAAAAGACTGTATCACCTTATCGCGACCTCCGTTCTTTCTTGTTGTATCTCCAGTTTTTTAAATAGTGAAAATGTGACTTCGTAAGCTCACTCTTTGTTATGAACTGTTTTTACAGATAATAAAAATGAAAAGAGGGGGCTCTCGTGGCCTAGAGGTTAAGGTGTTCGCCTCTCATTCACAGGTCCCGGGTTCGAATCCGGGTAGCGACGGAAACTTTTTCTTCTCTAAAATTGTCTCCTTTCACCTCCTTTCCTGCTCTCTTGCAATGTTCTGTCGTCTGCTTTCGTCTCCACTTTCTGCCCCCACCCCCTCACCTCCTTTGCCCCCTCCTCTGGGCTCTTGACGCTTTCTGCAGCTTTTGTACTGCTACTCCTTGACCCCTTCTTACTATTGTCTTTCAGCCACACCCCTGATCTCCTGGTAGGAAAGATCTACACCTAGCTTTCTCGGACAAGGTTGAAAAATCTCGGAGGTCCAGTGTGCAAGTAGCGCACGTTTAAGATCCCTTGGAGGTCTAAAATCGATAAGAGTAGGCTTCAGCCACCACCCGGGCAAAATTCAAAATTTAAAAATATTTAATGTGTCCCACGAGCTCATATGACCTTACACAGCTGCGAGCGCCGTAAAACACTTACCCCCCCCCCCCCCCCCA